ACCCAAACCACTGCAATTTTGGGATGCACCTAGTAGCATGACATTTATTAGGAATAAATACTTCTTAGTTCTGGTGCATTTGTGCGTGCGGGGGTCATTATGTTACCACTATGCGGTATCTAGTTAATTTCAATAAATTACAAGTTAAAAAGAGCATGGAAATTTCTCTTTTTTGTATCGAAAAAATATTGAACCGTGAGATTTAAGTWTTGAACCGAACCGAATCATGAATTTTCTGTATCGTTGCACCCCTAGCAGTGCAGTAACTCATCATATTTCATGCTAAAATGCGTGTATATCAGTTGTACTCTTGTTTAATAAACATAAATACAAAACATTTGAAGCAAATAAAAATTAACACTTAAGCGAGCTGAAGTGCAATGACACAAGACATCTTGAGTGCAGACTCCTGCATCGTTGTGGTTCTGGTAAAAAGTTGTTAATGTATGTTGCGACTTCAATAAACTTCTCATATTTAGCTTTGTGCAATGTGTTGTGGTGGTGACTTATTAAAAATCCTTAATGACAAACTAAACATACTGGCTTCCCTTGTAATTCTGTGAACAGATAATGTACCTCCAAAAATATAAACTTTTTTCTTATTTACTTAAAATGCATCCTTACAACAGCTCTTAAAATCTAAGATTAAATTTTAAGTTTTTTCTTTTTTTGGTGGGCCGAAAGACAGTCACCTGCAGGCCACATACGGTCTGTGGGCCACCAGTTTCCCATCCCTGATGTAGATGCTCTTTTAAAAAAAAAGAACACAAAAGTGTCAAAAATTAAAAATATCATTGAGCAAACCAAGTCATGGCATGATAACCAACTTTAATATGTTTTATTGTAAGGTTGTTTGCTTTGAAACGTTTCCACCAGCTTTGCTAACAAAAACTTTGCGTTGGCATCAGCTGGAAGCACATCGAAGACTACATCGACCAGCAGTTTGAGCAGTATTTCAGAGACGAGAGCGGCTTGAACAGAAAGAACATCCAGGACAACCGAGTCCACTGCCTCCTCTACTTCATCTCACCGTTTGGTCACGGGTACATTTCTCTTCCACGAATGACGAAACCAGCAAGCGCCTCAGCTTCGACTTTAAATATGCTTCTCTTTGTCAGCCTTCGACCACTTGATGTGGAGTGTATGAAGGCCTTGCACGCAAAGGTTAACATCATTCCTCTTCTGGCCAAAGCTGACGGCCTGACGCAAACGGAGGTCTGCAAAAAGAAGATGAAGGTACAAAAACGACAATCAAGGTTCACTCTGAAGAGGGGAGATGAAACAGATCGTTTTTTTTTTTTTTGTTTTGTTCCAGATCAGGGAGGACATCAGGCAGTTTGGGATCCACATCTACCAGTTTCCAGACTGTGACTCAGATGAAGATGAAGACTTCAAGACACAAGAACAGACTCTGAAGGTGGACTTTCTYATTGAGTTCTCTTGTTTTAAATGTCTTATCGTCAGGTTTAATGTGACTGTTTCCACCTGCAGGACAGCATACCATTCGCCGTCATTGGTAGCAACATCCAAGTGGAGAGCAAAGGCCGRAAGTTCAGGGGTCGCGCCTATCCATGGGGTGTGGTAGAAGGTATTGGTTTTGTTTTGATGAGCTTTAAATTCCTGTTTGAGCAGTTTTGATTTAAAGTGCCTGTGACATGCCTATCCATCGAATACAAAAAGTCAAAGAAAACACATTTTTATTTAAGAAACCTTGCATAAAATTGGATTTTTTTTTACCCATTTGGTCATAAAAATGGCATATTTTCTTTTGAACTTGGATCAGCCAAAGTGAAACAGGAAGTGACATCAAAGGGGAACTATTTGAGAAAGAGAACTCTCTGGTCTTTGTTTAATGAAATTATATTATTTGAACTTTGACTTGTCTTCATCTCTCTTTGATAGTAACCAAAAATAATCTAAAGAAACATCAGATTCTTCTCTAGTGTGTCCTTAGCCATTTTATCAATGCTCTAATCCATGCAGACATTCCCMTTTGACATCACTTCCTGTTACTTCAAATGCAAATATCTCAACAACTGTTCATCTCAGCAGCAGGAAATTATGTTTGCAATATATTATTGATGTTATCTTTCCAATAATGCCTTTATATATGTTTTAAAAATTTCAGGCCACAGGCACTTTAACGTCATACCTCTGTTGTTTTGATTTATTTCAACACCACCGGGCAGTGGAGAACCCAGCTCATTCTGACTTCTTGCTACTGAGGAACATGTTGGTGAGGACGCACATGCAGGATCTGAAGGACGTGACTCGGGAGATACATTACGAGAACTACAGGGCTCAGTGCATTCAGAACATGACGCGCATGATGGTGCAGGAGAGGAAACGCAGGTGGGCGGAGTCAGCTGGGAAACTCTGCTCCAAAAATCTTTTTTTTCCCTCACACAATTTCTTTTTCTAATTTTGTTGACATATTTGTGTTTGTTGTGCGTGAAATTTGCTTTTTTAGTTTGAGGGAGAAGTATCGAGAGGGAGGCGAAGTAGACTTTCCTCTGCCGCTAGCGACCGATGACGCCGAGAAGGAGAGGCAGATCTTTGAGAAAGATGAAGAAGTGCGTATCTTCCTCACCTCTCAGTTACAATACGTGACCCGGGGTGTCTAAACAAGACGCAATAAAATTTAAAAATTACTTATTAAAGTCCTTTATAAAAAGAAATAACTAGCTTCGCAATAAGGCCAAATGTTAAATGAAGGGATTTCCTGATGCTACAGCAGTATCATCCTCCTGGGTCACATACAGGTGCTGGTCATAAAATTAGAATATCATGAAAAAGTAGATTTATTTCAGTAA